ACACAGATGAGTTCATATCACAGAGACACTCATAGGCACAAACACCGAGGTACCAGAGAAATCAATACTTTCATCATTCCATTTCTCTTACCAGCCGAGTAATAAATCAGCTAGGATTTTAATTAACACAGCTTCTGAAATCCTACTTTCTAATTCTTTAAAGATCTTAAAGAGCAAGAACAGAGTATGCCTCCATGTGAGTTGGGGTTTAGGGGATTATGAAAATGTGAGTTTTGGATCTAATCAGGCCTCCTGGGATGGCCCAGGCTGGAGGCATTTGGTGACTCTGACTCCCTTTTCCTCCCTTGCTGGCTCTTCCACAGCCCTTTGCCATGCAGGCTAGAAGTACGGGAGAGTGACTATCTCCCGCTTGAGGCTACTAGAGCTCTTCCATGGGCACACGGGCTGGGAACCTACCCCCGCACCACAGGATTCCTTTGTACCCTGTGCTGTGGTTTAGCATCTTTCAACCCTGCCAGTCTCCTCCCCTGTTGCCCTGCCCTGCCCCTGCCCCCACCACAATAGCTTCTCAGTCTTTCAGCATAAATGCCCAACTCCTACTCTGGCATTCGAAGCTTCTTAAGATCAGGATCCTGGTCTAACTTTCTCTCTCACTGCTTCCTCTTCTCCAGAAAGTACAACTCTGGCCCAACTGACCTACTCATTGTCCTGTTATCTGCCCCACCTTGGAATATGCTTCCACTTTCTTTGCATGTCCAAGCCCTACCTTGCTCTAAAGCTACTTTCTCCAAGTACCTTCCCCTGAAATCCACATGGAAGGGACTACTCACTTCTCTGAATTACCAGAATACCTTTTCTCTAAGGCAGGACACTGACTCAACTCTGTTCAGTTATTTGTGCACTTGTGTTTCAGAAAAGGTTCCTTTGGTTACAAACAGTCAAAATTAACTCTTGGATGAGTAACTCCCTAGTCTTGGAGTTCCTCGCAGAACAGTTGGGATTGCTGTCTGAATGGGACTGTAAGTCCAGGGAAAGGAAATCTCAGGACCAAATTACTCTAGAAACCGAAATCAGTCAAAGGGAGAAATAAAGTTTAAAATCCGTTTATTGCTTACAAACTGCAGTCTGGGCCCTTCTCTCTTTCCTGCTCCAGCAGAAGCAAAACGGGCCCTCCCCCTCACCTCTCAGGTACACATAAGCCCTCCTTGCCCAGGTTATTACCCATTGATATGGAGATGAACTTCTCTCCACCCCTGAGGAATGATGCAAATGCACTAAAGCCATACTTCTTTCCACCTCTGAATGCCTATTGATACGCAGATGTACTAAAGCCAGACAAGATATTCTGAAAATATTACAATTTTACCCACAGGGACCCACGTCTAAGAACGTGTCTCTTGGCTCTAAGTTTCACTGTTTGAAGAGAGGGAATTGGATCAGTGCCACTTGGTTCAGGGGCCCACCTGTGGGTCAACCATCAGCGATGGCCAGGAGTATTTTCTCAGCACAGATGTGGCCTCTGGGGGACCAGCTGCGTGTCTGGGAACAGGGGCCTTTCCCAGAGAGGAGAGAAAAGCTGAAGTCTAGGCTGCTGCACAAGGAGGCAGCAAATGTAACTTGTCTTTGCTACTGACAGAAGGAGGAGGACAGATGCTGGGGAGATAGAACAGCAGCTGCCCATGGAGCACGTCAGTGGAGTGGGGTCAGTGAGTGAGCAACGAGGTCATCTGCCTCCTAAAAGCCCCTAGGTCAGTTTCCTCTCAGTTCTGTTTATCAAGGACATGATGATCTTATGTTTTCCCATCCTCTATATCCCCTTTCCAATCTTAGACGTGGGGCACTCTCTGGGTAGCGTGAGTTAGGGAGGCACAGTGAGTCATCTGCCGAGGTCTAGTAAGAAAGGTCTGTCACTCTGCCACGCCTCTACTGGCACACATTTACTGAGTGCCTGGTATATGTCAGGCACTGGCAAAAAGCCAGCTATGTGGGACTGTCCCTTACAGGACTTGGAGGATTCAGCCAGTCACACTGTGGGTAAAATTGCAATATTTCCAGAATCTCTCTCCTGGCTTTAGCGCGTCTCCATATCAATGGGTGTTTCCAAAGGGTGGAGAGAAGTAATCTATCTCCATTTCAATAGGTAACTACAAGGGAGAACGTATATCCACAACATGGGATAATTTTCAGATGTTGAAAAGAATGTTTAGGACTTCACTGGAAGACTTGGTGGAATATCCATGTTGAGTAAGAAAATCAGAACACAACAACATGTGTCTATATTGTGGTCAGCTTTACAAAGTAGGAGACAGGCCAGAAAACTCTACAAATGTATATGCACTTAGATATAAGTCAGTATAGGAATGTATGAGTGTGGAGAAAAATATGGAATGACACTAAGCGACTTGAGTTAGTTGGGGTGGTGGGAGAGGAAAGGGCTTGGCAGTAAAAATAAGATTTTTAAAGAGTAGAAATGTCTACAGTCAAAGAGTGCATGGGGTGGGTTCCTGAGACAGGTACCATAGGCTTAGAGTAGGGTGAGGGCCTCCAGAAAAAGCAAGGCAGGATGTTTACAGTCAGAGCAATATAACACATGCAAGGAAACCCCCTACCAAAACTCTGTGTTAAACATTAAGCTCTAGAGTCATTCTTCAGTGCAGATCTGTTGATACTCCCTAGATAAAGGAAAGTAGCCCATGTTTTTATTATGCTAATTGTATGTAATCATGTGTAAGATTCACTTTAGCATGCTAAAAGGGATTTAATATCTCATCAATGACAAACATCCTAAGGCCACTTTTAACAAGTCCACACCCTAAGCCCTTTATCAGTTCCCCAAAATTCTCAACTGCCTATAAATCTCCTAGGCAAGGCACCACCCCGGGCTCTCTTGTCCCCTCCTGGCACCAACCAGGAGCTCTGTCCTCTCACTGAATCTCTCAATAAAAGCCTCTCCCTGGCTCTCCTACCTTGACTGTTTGCTAAGTTCATTCTTCGATTCTGCAAACAAGAACCCCGGCATCATTCCCACTTAGATAAAGTTGAATATGAGTTTGTAAAGACACAATGGGCAGCAGGGTGCTGTGATTTCAGGCAACACAACCCTCTCTCTCTCATATATATATATATAAATTTTTTCAATTTTTTTGACAAAATATAATAACAATTTTCATGGAAGAAGAGGGAGAAAAAGACCATTGGTGAGTTTTGGCTTTTTAACAATTTCAAAAACAATTTCCTATAAGAAACCACTTGTATAATTTCCATGGTTAAACATTGTAAGGCTTGTGATTAAAAGTTACATTTGAAAGCCAAATAGTTACATCACTCAGAGAATCTTGCTGCTCATTATATAGTAGTCAGTATGAAGACATGACCGTAACCATGATAACTGGAGCATGCCTTTATAATTTCAATCCTACCTTTGATCACCCCACTCCCCAGCTAGCCTCATGGGTGCCGGTTGTGTGCTGCACTGACTCAGGACAAAAGCCAAGGCCTCACCTTGTCCTACACAGCCCTTCAGGGTCTTTCCACACCCCTCCCTGCCACCTACTCTCACCTCATCTCCTCCATCCCAACTCCCGCTTGGGCCTCCTTGCTGTTCCTCACACAGCTCTAGGACACTGTGCCCCAGAGCCTTTGCACTTTGCTGTTCTCTCTCCCTGAAGCAGTTTGCCCCTGGGTACTCATATGGTTCACTCCCTCACGTCCTCTTAACTCTTGGCTCTAATGTCCTTTCCTCAGTGAGCCTACTCAGATCTACTTATTTTAAAATGCAAGGTCTATTTCCCATCCCCACTTCCATCCCCAGCCCTCTCTACTCTTCTTTCATGTTCACTTTTTCTCACTAGCACCTTATTAGTCTACCACTTCTGCACAGCTTATTTATCTTAAAAATTAGAAAATTGACTGTCCTCTCACCTAATTGCAACCTTCGCAAAGAAGTGATTTTTATCTTCCTTGTTTGCTGTTGGAGTCTAGGGCTTAGAACAGTGCTTGACACTTAGTAGGCCCTGAATGCATATCTGTAGAGTCACTGAATGAACTGGTGGCAGATGGGAAATGGCTTGAAGCAGCTGAGATGAGCCACAGACAAAAGCTAAAGACAAGGGACCCGAGCCCAGCCTTAAGGATGAACTGTGCATGCATTATGTCATGATCTGCAGATGGTGTTGAAATCTATTACCGTTTTTAAACTTCTCATTACTTCATTTGATTCTTTAGGCAGTTCAAGAGCTCCATGAGCCTGGAGGCCTGGCACATTTATCTCCACTTTTTCCACAGTGCCTGGAATGTCTGTGATTCAGTAGCACTCACCAGATGTTCAATGCTTCATTAATGATCTGATAGTGAATTTTATTTGACTAAGCAAATTTTAGAATGAATTTTGTTTGATTAAGATATTAGGGCCTAATCTGTGTTCTCATGCTGTTGTACTACATCGATTTAATTTTGTCCCATTGCAAAAGCAATATACATGTTCATGACAGAAAATTTGGAAATCAGAGAAAAGTTGAAAAAATGAAAAAGTCTTTAGTTTTACCACCTATAGAGAACTGCTAACATTTTAATGTCTTTCAATATTTTTTCTACATAGTTTAAACATAATTATAATAATTGTGTGTTTACATTTTTGCATATTTCTCCACTTTATTAATGCACACTGTTTTTTTTTTGCCATAAACTTTTTGAAAGGCTTCTCTTTAAATAAGTGCCCAATATATAACCATGTCACTATGCCATAGCTCACTTAACAACATAACCGATATTTGATGTTTAGGCTATTTGCATTTTCCTCATATTGGAAAGATCATCTATTACTCCACTAGACTGCATTGTCTGTTGTCTGTATGGCCATCAGTTCTATGCTTCAGTCTTATTATCTAAAAGATGGAGATAATGAGAAATAAGAGGGTTAAGGTAAGTGAACACAAGAAATGGTGATGAGCGTATAGTAGGTGTTCAGTAAACAGCAGTGGTCTGGAATTGAAACCTCTGGGAAGTGTTGATTGCTACCAATGGCTGTTCCCTGACTGCAGGCTGCACCTGATGCAGGTGGACTCAGTCCAGCGCTGGATGGAGGACCTGAAGCTCATGACCGAGTGTGAGTGCATGTGCGTCCTGCAGGCGAAGCCCATCAGCCTGGAGGAAGATGCTCGTGGTGACGTCATCCTGGCTGGCGGCGCTGGCCCTGGAGACCCTCTGCAGCTGCTGCTCAAGCGGGGCTGGGTCATCAGCACTGAGCTGTGCAGGATTGGGCAGAAGCTGGCCCAGGACCGCTGGGCGCGCGTTCATAGCATGAGTGTGCGTCTGACTTGCCATGCCCGCTCCATGGTCAGCGAGTACAGCGCTGTCAGCAGGAGCTCCTCACAGGAGATGGGCCAGGTGAACTGCCCGGAAATGGGTGTGTGGGGGCTTGGAAAGGGGATACCTTCTAGAAGAGTGGGTCTGAATTGTGTGGACTTTGATCTTTTCCAGCTCCAGGGCCTCCCTCCTCTTCCAATTAAGCAGGGAAGACAGTTAGGGCCTTTATTGAGTATCTGCTATGTTCTAGGCATCGTGCTGGGTATTTTCACACATCTCTCATTTAACCTGCACAAATTGTGAGGCCTTTTGCAGTCATAACCACTGTGAAGAGTGGTACAGTGGTTTAGTATGCCCACTTTAGTGCCAGACTGCTGGGTTTCAAATGTCAGCTCTGCTATGAGACCTGGGCAAGTTATTTACCTTCTCTGTGCCCCTTTTTCATTACCTTAATGAATATAATAATAGTATTTATTTCATAGATCTTTTGTGAGGACACATGCATTATTACATATAAACATTAAAAACAGTTGAATAAAATATTAGCTAGTATTATTGTCCTGACTTTATATACGAGGAAGCATACTCAGGGTGCCTAAGTGACTTGCCCAAAGTTATGCATTAACTGAAATAAGTGGGATATAACCTAAGCCTTTCAGAATCCAAAGCTCATGATGACTTTATTCCCCTTACCATTACTTCTATTTCCTCTGGCATTCACTTTTACACCTTAGTACTTTACCCTTTTCCTTGCTCCACTTTGCAAACAGTAACTTCTATTCATTCTTTGAAGCCCAGCTCAAATGCCCATTCCTCTCTGAAGCTTCCCAGATTCCCTAGCATAAGTAATTGCTCAGTTTTCTTTTTTTGAGCTCCCAAGGCAGCTGATGATGATCCTTTTTGCCATCCATATCACATCATTTATAGTTTATATGACTGTTTTCCAAATCAGATTATTTGATTCTTCATCTTTATGCCCCAGAGGGCCCAGCACAGTAGTTGGTCCTCAGCCAATGCTTATTGAATTGAATAAAATTGGTCTATTTTTCTACAGATTGAGAAACTACTAATGGAGAAATGCTCAGAGCTCTCAGCAGTCACAGAGAGGTAAATCTGGACAGGGTCTGCGGGCTTGTTCTCAGGCAGGGGAAGGGGCTGGCATATTCTCCAGAGAGAGAGTGGGAGGAGAGGACTTGGGGTGGGGGTCTAGGGGTCCTTTTGCTGACTTTTAGCAACAACCTTAAAAGACTTCCTTGGGATTTTTCTACCCCATTTTCAAGCCCAGGGAGAATAGAAAAGGCAGAGGAGGGGCCCAGGCATAGGAATACATGATTTTTGAGGGTTGGAGACAAGGAAGGGGTTTTCCACAGCTTTGGAAACCCCTGACCCTCAGGCAAGGCAAGGTGAAGCCAGAGGCTCACACCCACATGAGGATTTTACAGACACTCACTTGCCCACACACAGATACATAAACTACATAAACACATACACAATCACAGAAATACACTCACAGCCTCTTCTCCATCTCTCACACACATACATACATACATACATACATACATTTACACTCAGACACAGCACACCTCAACCTCACGTGTCTACACACCCAGGTCTATGCTGACCCTCTCCCTCACCCTTTCCAGCCTCCATGTCCTGGAAGGAAACCCTGGAACTTGGCATCCCCTAGGGCCCCATGGGGCTTTGGCCTTCTAGTGTGGAACATTCTCAGGGCACAGGGGTAAATTAGAGACTGGTACCCCTGTTCTTCCTGTCTGGGGAGAAAATTCTCAAGGCACCTTTCTGCACATTGCAGGCAGCCATTCCTTAAAGGGTCATAGGCATTACCACACACCTTTCAAGTGAGCATCAGTGCATCTGGCACACCGGTGCCTCCCCTGCCGCAACCCCCACCTCCCTTGCCCACCAGCACCTCTCTCCTCCCAGCTCCCTGGCTACAGTGATGGCAGACCGTCCCAGGGAGAAGCCCAGAAGTGTAGATGTGGCTGCTTTCCAGGTGGCCTCTCTCCCTGGTGATAGGGACTGTTATTTTCCATTTTAGGCCAGCACTCCTCTGAATACTACGAGGCCAGGGGATAGCCAGCTATGGAATATTCCATCTCTGACTCCCCAGGACCTGATGTCTTCTCTCTAGGCAACTTGCACCATCACCAGGCCAGCAGCAGGCCCAGATCTGGCCCATCAGTGGTCTGAGATGACCACCTTCCCCTTCCAGTGATTCACCCTGTGGTTTCTTTTCCCAGGTGCCTCCAGATAGAGAACAAGCATGTCCTGAAGCCGCTGAAGGCCTGTGTGAGAGAGACCCTGAGCACTCTGGGCCAGCACTTCGGCCAGTTGCTGGAGCTGGCCCTGACCCGGGAGGTGCAGGTCAGTACAGGCTGGGCTGGGGAGAAGGATGCCTGTGGAGACTCCTCGGTTGGGAGTGGGTGGGCAGAGGGACTGGGCCTTGCTGGGGGAAGCTCTGAAGTGGCCTGTCTTGGAGGACATCTTCCTCAGAGCACCAAAGTGAATTGAGCATCTGAGAGATAGGACTGTCAGAGCTGAGCAGAGGCTTCCTGAGTAGTTAACATTAGTTTGCATTTTTCCAGATGTGAAAGCTGGAGCCCAGAGAGGGAAGAGACTTACTTAAAGTCACACAGCGAGGCAGTGACAGAGCCTGGCAATCTCCCAATCACACTTTCAGTATTGTTCCTATTGCTTTATAGTGCATAGAGTGGATCCTTACCGTCCTGAAAGACTGAGGGCACCTGCAGGGAACAAGCCAATTCTGGAAATCCTGGCAATAGAGAAGAATCTAGAAACATCATATAATCTAGCCCCTGCCTCTAGCCAGGCACCTACATGATTCCAGAAAGAGTCAGGGCTTTGGAGCCTGACAGATCTACTTTCATACTGTGGTTTGCTGTGAGAACTTGGTCAGGTTCCTTAACCTTTTAGCTCCTTTTTTCTAACCTAGAAAGGGAAAACCTACCCCAGAGGAAATGTGAGTACTGAGTGAATAACATATGAAAAGTACTCAGCACATAGTATGGCTCACATACATGTTATTTCCCTTGCTTTTGCCTATTTCAAAAGGCTCCCAGAAAAGCAGATTCCATAAGGTTTTCATTACGAAAGGTATTTACATGTTATTTATAGTTACAGAAATACTGTGTTACATATTTGCCATTCTTTTCCCACCACCAAATAAAAGCTTTCCACAAATAACAAATCCCTTCCCATGTCGGCTTCTCTCCAAAGTCAGCCTCTTGATTGAGCCCAAAGTTTCCTTTTTCTGTTTCCTGTGTGTCTGGCTCATTTTGCACAAGGCACACAGGCACTTCTGAACTGGCTCACCTGCTGCTCAGTGCAGCTGGCTGCATGCATTCTCATCCTTCCAACTCAGAGGGGTCTGTGAAGGCCACCCTCCCTGTCCCAAGGGCCTGGGACCATGGGAAGGATGGGCCAAGGCCTGGGTGCTGGGTCCTGCAATTACAGCTGATTAGCACATGCAGACAGTCACGTGTAGGGGCAGGTGGCATCCAACAAACCATCCCTTCCCAGAGGAGCCAGTGGGACTTGGGAAAAGACATGGGTGAAGAAACCGAGGGAGTGATGAGTGAGCATACTGAAGTTAGGGGTGGGGAGGAGGGGAGCCTGGAGGGAACTTCAAGTAAGGGCACAGGTGCCTGCAGGTACTTTTTATGCTATTTTTGTGCCCTCTTGCCTGGAAGCACTGGGTTCAATTAAAAGGGCTGAAATGGGAGCTGGTTTGTAAATGGAAGCCAGCTGGGTTAGAAGTAGTCATCAGCTCTTTCCACTGGGGGCAAAGGGTTAGGGTGCCTTTGACGCTCTAGGTCATAGAATACTGGGAAAACTCTCTGGGCTGCTCAGAGTCCACTTGGGCCTTGGGGACTGTGTATCTGATTGCCTGGGACTCTGGGTCTGTTCTGTTATTTTCTTATCCTGATCCTATTTAGGGTAGAATTCCTAATGCCATGCTTCCACTTCCCCAGCTAAATCCTGCTCTGTTCCTAGGTCTGACCACCTGGGTCACTGACGCTTGACCTGGGAGCTGAGCTGGATGAGCTGTTCCTCTCCTAGAACTTGGTCCCCTACTGGCCTCCCTCCCCTCTTGGGGCAGGCAGTGTCTGTCTTCCATTCCTCTGCTTGTTAGCTTCCTGATAACCCCCTTTTCTTCCCAGCATGCCCCTGGTGTCCTCGAGGCCCTCTTATGGGTTGAGCTTGCTGTGCTCATATTTTTTTGTCTGATTTTTAGCTTTCTTTTACATTGGAACATTTCCATACAGAATAGTGGTGACATAAGGAGATACATTGGCTAAAAGCAAGGTAATTTGTGTTAAGTGTTTTAAGCATGTGTTTCCTAAACTGGGTATCTAAATATTGTTCCCTAGGACATTATTAATTATACCATGATACTGTATTTGAGTATTTTGACATGCAGGAAATTAAGCTTCTTTCTTTGCATCAGACTTTCTCCTATAAGGTGCTATTCTGCAAGTCTTCTAAAAAGTCCTCACACATTCATAGTAGTTTTTGTCTGACCCGTAGCTTCCATAGACAGGGATTTTGGTTTGACTTCTCCTTGGATATATATCTAGTGATTAGACACTACCTGGCATACAGTAGGCATTCAATAAATATTTATTAATGAATTAATATTAGGTAGTGTATTCTAAATTTATATAGTCACAGATCTTTTTTATTCTTAAAGCACTTGTTCTCTTATTCTGGGATGCTGGCGTTTCAGGAGATGCAATTTGGCAAACCGTTGTTTTGCACTAGAGAACCATGTAGGTTCTTGAGTAGAGGACTGGTGCTCTTCCAATTCTCCAGTCCTCACCCCCACCCCAAAAATAACGCCTGGCAGAATGGTGCTCATAATTAGAGCAGTGATAATATAGCACTACTCTGCACTGGTCTGCTTCATCCTGGAGTGCTATATCCAGTCCCAGAACCCCAGTGTGTCATTGGCAATGGTTGTGCTCAGAGGAGAATAGGGAAGGGCTGAAGATCAAGGAATGTGGGGAATAGTTGGAGTAGCAGGGAATGTTTAATCTAAGGATGGACACTCTTCTACTTCCAAAGTTCTGCACTTGGTGGCCCCAAAGGAAAGAAGGACCTTAGGCCAGGGGAGTGAATCTATAGGATATTCCATCAAAAAGGAGTTTGTGAAGCAATAGGGCTGTCCCATACCAGAAGGCCCACCTTAGGAACGCCCATTACTGAGATGGGCTGGTTTTGCTGGGGAGGACACATCGTTGGTATGTGGAGGTCAGACCGAGTGAATTGTAAGATTTCTTCCAACTTAAATAGTATGCACTTCTATGAATGTGGGCATGGTGTGTGGAGTGGACTGAGCATGGAGTTTGGAGGCATATTAGGGTTCAAATCCTGATCATGCTATTTATGGGATATGCAGACTTAGGCAAGTTACTTAACTCCTGTTTCCTTACCTCAACTGTGTTGTTAGGATTAAATGAGATAACACATGAGTAATTAACTGGTGATACTTTTCTGACTGTGTCAACTGCTTTATTTACTAGAGACCCACTCTGGCTCAAGAGAAGCTAACAAGCTATGCTCAAAGAGCCTCCTAATTAACCAATTAATTATTTAATAGGATAATTATTTAATAAATTAATTATTTAATAAGATAAAGGCATGGGAATATTTTAGGCTTAAATGTTAAGAGCCACCAGTGAAAAGTAATGAGCACTAGTCTCTCTGGGAATAAAGGATTAATCATGTGAGAGGTAAGACAAGAAGACTTGACTTACAAAAACTGATCTACTTGATGTGACTCCAAGGGGATTCTGTTGAATAAGTCCACTCCCACCTGTATCATTGAGTCCTTGACTGAGCTTCGTGTGAATAGATGTTACATTCACTCATCCTTTCATTCTGTCAATCAATTTTTATTTTAGTTTAAAATAGCACCTTAATTCTAATGAAACTGATTAAGGAATGTATCTTTGAGTTTGAGGCTAAAGGAACTTGTTAGAACTTTCTCTTTTAGCTAAGTGTCCCCTCCCTGTCCCAGGCAGAGCTGAACAACCTTAGGCCTCACCTGAGGGACAAGCACCTATCCTGTGATGGGGTCAGACCAGGAGGACACTCCCTAAGAGGAGAGAGGCAGGTGCGCTACGCTGAGCATACTGAGCTCCTTCTTCCAAACTCACTAACTCATCCCTGCCCTTTCCATGAGGTGACATGGAGCCATAGGGCATGAAGCCAGCAGAGGCAGCATTGCTGAAATCCCTATCTAGAGGAACAGTTTGGGAACCAAGTATTGTCCCTTAGTAGTTCATAGTTTTTGTTCTGTGTCTAACTGGCCTTGTCTGTTGGTCTGTGGTCACGGAAGTATGGTTGGGCTCCCTGGGGGAGGAGGTCAGCTGCCAGTGGGGAATTCCTTTCCCACCTTCATGAAGCCATTCTCCCAAATCACAACCTGTATTGCTCTGTGGTTTCTCCTGGAGTCACAGTGAGCAATTTAGACTTTGTTCCCAGAAGATTCAGAAATGACTCATTATATGACATTCATTAAATTAACTCTGAGGAGGTTTTGTAACTAAAGCTCAAAATTTCCTTTCTTGTTCTACTCCCTTCTCTCAGATTTTGCTCAGCTATGTTGTCCAATGTAGGTAATCAGAGGATGCAGTGTGGTTAAATGGCAACATAAAAATAATCCAAACATACTCACCAGATAAGAAATAGAAAGATGTCCGAAGTTGTAATATTTTGAAGTTCCATGGGAGAAAATAAAGTAAAAGGAAAAAACAAAACAACCCAAAACTGAACCTGTTTACCTTAAGGAATAATTCAAAGTCTCAAATTCTTAGGTTAATGCAATTCTCTTCAATTTTCTTACTCTGTTCACCTTAGCCAGGAGAGTTCATCCCAGTGTGTGTGGGAAGTCATGTTTCCTTGAGCAGCTACAGTCCAGGCTGCCTCTCCAGCAGTGGGAGGGCTTCCTTCCGGGCTTCTCAGTTTGTATGTGTCTCTCCAAACCACACTTGAAAGGGCCTGAAGAGTTAGTATCTTGGATACACAATATTTTCACAGCACTACCTCTGTGCTCACAGAAAATTCGAGGTTAATTGCAGGCAATATTTCATCCCAGGGCTCTGTCCTCAGAGTTGCTGAAGGTTTTAACAGATACTCCCCTGTGGTTGAAAGAGGGTGGGGGACTGGTGCTGTCTTGGTTGGATCTGCAGCAGGATGTCAAGTGACTAGATTTCAGTTGTCCACGGTCCACAGGGATTTGTGAACATACATTCACTGGGGGAAAGGATGTACCACAGGTTGACTGTAGCACAGTGTTTGCCCTATGTGGGAGGAAAATGTCTCCCTTCCCAGAGAGGGGT